TTCCACTTTTGCCTGCGTGGCGCAATGGTCTTCGCGACAATATTCCCCGTTACCATGCTATCTATGCGTCCACCGTCCCGGCCTCGCCTGGTCTCCACGTGCGACCTGCTACCCCAGCTTTGCCAAAGCGCATTCCTTCCATCGCCGTGCTGATAGCGGCGGTCAGTAAAGAATTGGTCTTGATCTTGAAGATATTGACTGGGCTGTCCGGGCTGTCTTTGGCTGACGGTTGTGATGACGATCTTAGCTGTGAAGATAGTCCTCGTCTTAGCCGGCACGAAGAGGGCGAATTCTAATTCAGGCACGCCACGGCATGCTCGAATTGTCGTTGAAATTAGCTGGTCTTCGCCGCCATAGCTATTCCCAAGAGCTTCTGGCATAGCTGCAATTTGTCAAGAAGAGCCTGGAGGATTTCACAGAGGCTTCTCGGAGATTCCTTCCGAAGCTGTGTGAAATTGATCGAGGTCCAGTCAGTGATACTGTTGCCTATTGACTTCCGTATCAGTGCTGCTTCATCTTCTGATACATCTCCGCGAACGTTGAATCGCGGCTGACTTGATGCACGAAGAAGTTCTTTGCTCTTCGTGAGGATATTTGAGAACAAAGCGTGGAATTGTGACGGTTTGATGCTGCTGTGAGGCAGGCATCGAGAAAGTAACGGATCTTATCATCTAGGATATCGTAGGCGTCACCTGAATAGTTGAGCTTTCGATCCCATAGCTTAGAAAACTGGTTGGCGATGGCAGGATCGAGGTCTTCATTGGGGACCTGGACTGGGGGCACGGTCCGGTAAGCTTCGCGGTCGATAGCTGGTCTGATCATAAGTTCCTGCTGCTGTTGATTCGATCGTGACAGGGGTAGGGATTGGTCATTGGGGGGGTCTTGCGGGAGGTTTAGATCGGGAGTGACTGGTGCTGGGGTTGGTGCTGGGGTTGTTATAGCGATGGCGAACGTCTGAGGAGTTCTTGTTGGCGTCGGTAGGCCGTTTTCGTATAAGATGGCATCACGAAGATCGTCTTCATCCCACTCAGGAAGTCGGTCACGGTTCTTCAGATTTACTAGAATGCCGTGATCTTTGCGTTCAGCTTTCCTGTATAGATTCCTCTGAACCTTAGGGTATTCCGTAGGACCTTACGGACCCTTGATCGACCTTCTTGAAGTCGTCTTCCTCCCAATCCTCAAAGTCTTCTTGAATGATCCAAGCAGCTCGAGACCTTGACATGTTGAGGAGACTTTATAATCAACGATGCGGGCGAGAACGTAGGTATTATAGTGGATCTCATCGGAAGTCTCGTTGACTGGGGTGTTGAAGAGGTCCATGTTGAAGATTGTGGCGAGGCCACGGTTGAATTCAGCAATATCGAGGAATTCGTTGATGTCGAGCGCCGGTGCGTTCGCGTTCGCGCTGCCGCTTGCGCTGCTGCTCATGATGTCGGATGGGGCTTGACAGGAAAATCTGCGAGGAATAGGGCAAGAAGGTGTCAAGAGAGGTCAAATTGATCGAGAGTGATCAATGAAGCTAATAATCAAGCGGGATACCAGAGATTTGTATGTGCGATAGGGCACGCCTAAGAGGTCAGCGGCTGAGGCAAACAACTAGGCACGGTTGACTGAATAGAGTGGGCGCCGGTCGGGTCTTCGTAGTCAGTCTCGCGTTGTAGCACTTCTTTCTTCGCAGAGCGCCACAGATCGTGAGGATGCGTTGAGGAAGTCTCTTCTATCTTGCTGCTCTGAGGTTACCAGCCAAGGTAACAACTGATCAGTGTGGATAGGTTAACTGAGGCTCAGTTGGGTCTTTGATCGATGATCGTGTTGTTCTTGTTATTCTTCGCTATCTAGACCATGCTGTGAGGTTTGATAGGTTGTGTGCGTGTCGGGTAAACTTTGTTCCCGCTGACGCACGTGATACCCTCCTGCGATGTGCGCTCTATCGTACAAATGATCAGACATATTATTTTATTTTGGCGCAGCAGACTTGTTAGCATTGAAGCCGGGTGAATGTCGCATATCAAGCCTGTCCAGGACGATTATTCATAAGGTGGCGATTTTACTCGCAACGCCGCTGTTGCCTGCTAGGCAACCGCTACTGCGTAAACGCGACGGACTTTTCATTTGTGTATAAAGAGCTGCACATTTTCGTGCGTTCGTTCATTTAGCTCCTGTTCTTCAGATAATTCTCATCAATTGCCTGATCTGACGGCAGCCCTGAGGTTTGTTGCCTCTTTGCATCGTACACCACTATTCCGGTAATCACCCAGCTATCAATACCACACAGCCTCTCCGCATATTAATATACTATTACAGCGTACCCTTTATCCAGTAGTAGTAGACGCATTCGTCGCCCATCGTCATCACGTTCGATCATAAACGTCCTTTCTCATTTATGGCCGTCCTTCATCCCCAGGAATGCTGTCCTCACCATCAGAGTATCCTCTGCGAATCCAAAACTTCCCGCACCTCGCCGCTTGCATACTCTGCCCTTCCTGGACCTGTCGTACTGCCCGAGTCCAATCTTCTCTTGTTGGGCACCAGCTGCGCAAGTGGCCGTCGCACTAGTTCAAGCAACATAGCACGCTCAAAGTCGATCATCATCACCGTCCGTCTCTTTGTTGACCAGCATGTTGGCGCTTCGCACGTCTTTGTGCACCACACCTTCCTCATGTATCGCCCGCAGGGATGCAAGCGCCTTGGCCTCAAGGATTCTTCTCGTGCTGGCTGCGACCTTGGCCTCGTCAATTATGTCTCCTCCCCATGAAAGAAACGTCATGTGCACGACGTAAACCCGATGGTCGTAGTAGTAGGTCCTCTTCAGCGGCCGAAGGTCTACGGCTCCGAGAAAGACAGGTACGTTAACGCCCTGAACCCGCTCTAGGCGCTTGTAGACGGTTGCTTCATGCTCAAGGTCTCGGATGAAGGCCTTCACTGTGCCCTTGCACACAAACGTGTAGCCATACGACAGAAGGTCACCTTGAAAGCACTCGAGCACCGTGCTTTCTAGCTTGGCGGGGCCGGCGTGCCAGGATTCGTTGACTTCTTCGAGGTACATTTGCATCGCCTCGTCCACGTTGTCCGCGTTGTCCACGTCGTCCTTGCCGCTCAGAGGGGCTCGGCGTATCCGGAGGTCGATATCCCGACTCGTCGTCCGATGATTCCGACTGATCTCGTCTAGTCGCAATTGTGTTGCGCTCGTCGCCTATTCTACCTCGACGGTGTCTCCTCCCGCCGCGTAATCGGCGACCGGTCAAAGTCCTCGTATGTTGTAGGTGCCCAGCTGGATGCGATGTTCGATGCCATTCGGTCGCTCTCTGGAATCGATCGCAGTGTCGTTTCGAAATCCTCCGCCCACCTGTTGAGATTCGCCGTCGCCCGATCACGCTCATCCTGCCCGTGTTCCACCCGTCCGCCCGGCCTACCTAGCGCCATCAGGCTGAACGCGAGATACTGCCCCACCGCGGAGCTAGACTGCATATGCTCTGGATGAGCCAACACCTCCGGCCCGCTCTGCCAGGTGATAATACAACGTTTCAGGCTCGGCCCAGTCCACCTTGAGGAAGACGGTCGCCTCGCCAGTTGTCAGCAACCCGTACTCGAGACCGCCCTCGATCATGTAGTGATACGTTTGTGTGAGGGCAGACGCCGTCAGTCTCTCGGCGTGATATTCAAAACGGCCGTCCGGGTCCACAGATGGCGGGATCGTCTTCCGATTGACGACTTCCTTGTAGATATTCATCGGCCGTAATCCGGCGCGGAGATGCGGAGCTGTGAGCTTATGGGGTGCCTTATACTCGGACACATAGATCATCGTCCGCTTCTCGGGGATGGGTCATCACCAGACCGATAAATGCAGATTTGGTCGGGCCGCAGCTGATGAAGATCTCGTCGGTGGTCCGTGTTTGCGGCGGTGTTGACGGGTTCTCCCGGGCGACTACTTCCTCTGCGACGTCGCTGATGGCGTGAGGATGGTTCTCGAAGACGATCCCGTTTCCCATGTCGAATGCGTCGCACACCTCGTCAATCTGCCTGAGTTGCTCCATGATGACTCTGACAGGGTCTTCGACACTATTATGCATGAAGTATTCCAGCGTCTTCTCATCTGCTATCGATCGTTGCGCCACTCTCCTTCCTAGACCGGCTAGGAAGTTTTTTCTCGAAGACACGAATGCCGACGGGCAGACATTCGTAGAGAGTATCGAAAATGCTCCCCGCTGTTCCATGAACCGTGGCCAAGGCTCAAGACTAGTAGGCACAGCTTGTTTCGAGGGTTGGTGATGGAACCCTTGACGTAAGCCTGCGGTCTCTTTCCACCGTGAACTGGGAAAAGACGTGGTGATGACAAGCAGCGATGTACTCGTCGAATGTGGTCGGTCGCGTCTGTTCCTCTGCTTCTTCGGCGCGTTGCTGCTCCTTCTCGGCGCGTTGCTGTTCCTCTGCTTCTTCGGCGCGTTGCTGCTCCTTCTCGGCGCGTTGCTGCTCCTTCTCGGCACGATCTCGCTCTTGTTGACGCTCGTTCTGCTTCTTCGGCGCGTTGCTTTTCGCTTGCAATGCGTTCTTCCGCCTCACGAAGTCGCCTCTAGCTCCTCGATTTTGTTTGTTTCCTGCATGTGGTAGTGATGTTGGTTGGAACTTGCTAAACGTGTGTTTTTGATGGTGACGACAACCTTCGTGGAAACGATGGTTACGAAAAGGCTAGAGACAGTTGAGAAGGCAACCACATCATGTCACGTGACTCGCCTGAAATTCTTCCTGACTAACGCACTTAGTTGGCTGCCCCACCTAGTTCTCCACCCACAGTCTCGCGAAGAGGGCAGGCAAAGGGCGACGTTACCCGTTGATCTTGGTGGCCACAGCAGCTCAACCAAGTGTCTTCGCCACTTTCCACTATTCTAAGATTGTCCCGGGGTTTTGTGCTGTCCCGGATTTTTGGGCCAACTTAACGTTTTTGGTCAGCCGCGCCTGCCTTTGACCAACGGGTATGTGTGTGTATTTTCCGTCCAGCGCCGTCAGGCCGCTCAGGTCCCGGTGGGGCACAGGACGCTGAGCTAGGCTATCGAGAAAATCCTGTCACAGTAGGCTTCACCCAGCGCTTGCAAGGCCTCGCAAGGGCGAGCTGTCGGCTCAATCCCCGGAGACGACTTTCCTACCTCCCCTCGTAGGTTTTCGCTAACTTCATCAAGGTAGGGTTGCGCGATGCTTTGACGACGATACACCTCAGCTTTGGCCTGTGGACGTCGCCGAATCGTTTTGCGATTGTGGCTTGTCTCGCACACTTCATCGACCAGGGGCACGCCAGCAGTCGCGGCTGCTTGCACTTCGACGTCAATTCGGCATCCATAGCGGAAAGAACCTTGCTGCGTCACTCGTGGGCATCGTCCAGGACTGGGAGATCCGGGGGCGAGTCGGCTGTGTTGTCTCTGACAACTTAGTCACAAATGATCATTGCCTGCACTACATGTACAAGCAGCTGGACTCATCCATGAGAACCGCTGACATCAAGGCACGCCGGATGCGTTGTTATGAGCACACTCTCAATCTTGTTGCGCGGGCCTTTCTACGACAAAGATGCAGAGTCCTTCGAACTCGAATCCGAGATCAATTGCATGCGAGGCCTTCCAGAGCAGGACCTCGGCCACTGGCGCGCGAAAGGGCCCATCGGGAAACTTCATAACGTTGTCAAGTTCATCCGATCGTCGCCACAGCGGAGCGAACACTTCAATCGCATTGCGCAGGATGAAGAGTATGAGGAACATCGGCTTTGCGAAGAGTCAACTGCGGAACTGGAGGTCATCCTGAACAACGAGACTCGGTGGAGCCCACATACATGATGATCGAGAGGGCTTTGAGGAATCGGACGGACATTCGGGCATTCATCTTTGCACTTGAAGGCGAACAAGATGAGGCAAAACGCATCCCGGCGGCTGACATATTATCGAATGAGGATTGGCGCGTACTTGGTGAAGTCAATGCGATTCTCAAGCCAATATACCTTCAGACAATGCGGACCCAGGGCTGGGGCAAATCTGACGGCCATGGGCACCTGTGGGAGGTGTTGGTAGGGATGGAATATCTCTCAGAGCACTTTGAGGACTGGAAGGCATTTACGCGGAGATGACAACACTGACGATGAGTCAAGCTACCTTGGTCGACCTCGAGCCGGTTGAAGCAGCGTCCATTCCCACTGACTCGCCAGGAGGCCGGCCAAACCGTGCGCGTCGTCTCCCCGCTCGCTTTGATGATGACGAGGTTTACGTAGCCAGACAGCGGACCCAAACGTCAAGGTTCACAGAGTTGGCTTTGCCAGAGCAATATCACTTTAGTCACCTTCCCTCATATTGCGAGGCCCAGGCAATCCTTCCACTCGACAGGCGTTTCTTCTGCGGCGGCAGCATTTTTCGCACCTTCATCGGCGAGAGCGTTCCACTGGCGTGGGATCTTCCAGAACTGGATGACCAGGCCATTACGGTGGCCTTCTCACACTCCCCAAGAGCATCTCCCACAAGTCCTTGTTCTTGACGTTGCCGCCGCCAATTCCTTCTTACCTTTCGTCCTCCAATTGTTCTGCACCCAAGCCTTCGCCCACTGTGTCGAGCCCTCCACGACGTACTCAGAGTCGGTGGCGATGATGACTGTACTGAAGCCCTCGCCCGGCCAGTGTCGGAAACGCAGGGCGGCGATGACAGCTCGCAGCTCAGCCCGGTTGCTGCTTTGATGCCGTCATCACCCCAAGGGCCCTGCTTTTCCAGACGACCTGAGACCACGAGCGGTTGGCCCTCAATATGAAGCCCTGTACAAATGCCCAACCTGCCTTCGGATTGATTGGCCGTTGTTAAGGCATGCCCGTCGGTCATGATGAGAAGCATGGACTTGTCGTTGGGGTAGGTGCACCTGTGATCACGGACCGCGGGTTAGCCAGGCACGAGAAAGTACGTAACGAAGAAGAAAAGCTTCATACCTGACGATATTCATGAAACGAACCCTGCCGCGAAACAGCTCCATCGGTCGCAGGGGCTAGTGGGATGTCGAAACTTGGAGGGGAACACCAGACCAGTGCCCCTCATCACGTCAGATCCTAGGGAAGGGATGGCGATGGTGGATGGCGGCGCAAAAGGAGCCACGTCATGATCCTCATCATCTTCCTCGTTGTCCTCGATGTCTCACCAAGGACATCGTCCATAAAGCTGTAGTCGCTGCAACATATACCACAACGCACCAATCCATGAGGTCCACAGACAAGTCGACCGTTTGGCAGCTCACAAGGGCCTTCGTCGTCGTCGCTGCTGCTGTAGCCGAGTGGGACTAGGCCCTGGGCGAGGTACCAGCCGCGAGGCATTGCGGATGCCTGTTTTCTGCCGCTCTGTTCGGTATGTTTGTGCTGAGGTATTTCATTTGACCAAGTGGTGGTCGTGAAGGGAAGGTCGAGGGCGGGGGCAGATTGCAAGCTGAGGTAAGATACTTACCGGCAGCCAATCAATAATAGTCTGACGAGGAGGCCGCGAGAGCGCATCGCTTATGTGGAGAACGGTGGACGGTGGCACATTAGTACGGTGGGCGAGAGGGGACAGTGTTGCAAAACCCATTTTAGGTTTAGGCGCGTCGATGGGCAGACATTCGAGTACTTCGGAGGGTCCCGACAGAAGTACCGCGGACTGGCAGCGGGCCTGCGCGACCTCCGCTGCCAGGGCTGGATTCCCCACAGCACCCTCCTGCGAGAACGATTTCCATCACGAGTAACCAGAATCACGTCGGTATATCAACAAAAATTACTTGGAATTCTTTTTTTTGTTACAGAGCATACCCGAATATCGACGCCATGAATGACCATAAAAGAGCACTGCGTCACAAGTACGGGGAAGATGATCCCGCACCTGAGGGCAAACAAGGCCATACCCTGGACCAGCCCAATGTTTCCATCGTCAATGCGACGCATCCTTCCTTGTATTTTTACTTTCTTGGCACGCAAGTGTTAAGAAAGTAGCCTATTCTCACATACTTTCGCTTAACAAGTGCTCTTGACAAAACTCCAATTGAGCCGCGCGCAAGCGCCGGCAGCGGCCATGGCACCAGCCTCAGGTTCGCATGTCGACTCCAATGCCTCGAGACAAGGCATACGATCGCCGCCAAATTCAGCGGCTCACATATCGCATCTCCGACCTCGCTACCCGACGGAAGCTCGCCGAAAAGACTCGTTTCCCGCGGCCCAGCAGCTGGCCCAGTCAATCTCGTCCACCGAAACGCTTGAAGCTGCCGTCACGGAAGGAGCGCAGCTGGAAGAAGCCCCGAATCTCCTCGACTCAGCCCAGTCCACTGAGCACGCGCCAGTCTCAATCCTCGAAGCGGCCACGAAAATTGCTTGCGACAAAACGGCTGCCCACAGCGCCAAGCTGGCAGTCTTACGGGTCTTTAGCGAATCATTCGAACAAGCAGCAAAGCAGTTCACGTCTGGTACCGAAAACAGCAGATTTTGCAGTTCTTAACATTTTCCGAACGACCATTAACTATCAGAGAAGTCGTTGACGCGATCGCATTAGATACCACGTCGAAACCTCGATTTGACCGCAAAAATAGAATGCCAGTTCCAGAGGAGGTGTCAAGATATTGTTCCAGCCTCGTGTCCGTAACGAGAGACAAACAGGGCAGCGAAAAGACTGTGACGCAGCTGCAGCTTGCACATTTCTCAGTCAAGGAGTACTTGATGTCTGACAGATTACAGGCGGACATCGCTGAGCACTTCGAACAGACTAATGCAAGAGCTTCCATCGCAGAAGTCTGCCTTGCGTACTTACTGGATATGGATCACTTTCTTCCGATTACAGAACTCAGGCAGTCATACTGGTTGGCCCAATATTCTGCACAATACTGGATGGACCACGCTGTAGTAGCGGTGTAGCAGCGCAAGAGTTCATTCACTTCTCATAGATTTCCTTGTATGCGATGTTACTCTAAAAATGCTGTCAGTTGTACAGGCCTGACTATTTGTCACAAAGTGGTCCGTATATTCCGTACCGAATCGCACCAGCTCTATATTACGCCTCACTTGCGGGATTATGCCGTTCAGTTCAGACGCTTCTCAACAAGGGTGCCGACGTCAACGCCCAGGGCGGGCGATACGGCAATGCTCTCCAAGCTGCGTCAACTCAAGGACATGAGAAGGTGGTCCAGACGCTGCTCGACAAAGGTGCTGATGTCAACATCCAGGGCGGAGAGGACGGCAATGCTCTTCAGGCTGCTTCCCTTGAAGGACACGAGAAGGTGGTCCAGATGCTGCTCGAGAAGGGTGCCGACGTCAACTCTCAGAGTGAAAGGCACGGCAATGCTTTTCAGGCTGCCTTATGTGGAGGACACGAGAAGGTTGCTCAGATGCTGCTCGAGAATGGTGCCGACGTCAATGCCCAAGGCGGAGAGTACGGCATGCTCTTCAGGCTGCTTCACTTAAAGGACATGAGAAGGTGGCCCAGATGCTGCTTGAGAAGGGAGCCGACGTCAACGCTAAGGATGGCAATGCTCTCTGCGCTGCTTCATATGGGGGGCACGAGAAGGTGGTCCAGATGCTGCTCGAGAATGGTGCCAACGTCAACACTCAGAGTGAAAGGTACGGCAATGCTCTCTGGGCTGCTTCACTTAACGGACACGAGAAGGTGGTCCAGATGCTACTCGAGAAAGGTGCTGACATCGACGCCTGGCTCTTCCCTTGTCTATTCCGAGCTGCAGGCTGCCGCAGCACATTTAGGGGGAAGAACAAATGGAAAAAGCACGTCAACGCCCTACATGTTTGTGAGAACGTCTGGGTTTGCGCTGAAGGAACTGCACGTTACTCGCAATCGTCTCCTACCAACAAGCCTCAAGCGAGGTGCCATTTCCTCTGGTGGTCGTGTTTTATTCGAAAGGACTTATACATTTCGCACATAGACCGGAGTCATAAATATCTTGTCGCATATCAAGCCTGCCTAGGATGATTATTCATGAAGTGGCGATGTTACTCGCAACGCCGCTGTTGCCTGCTAGGCAACCACTACCGGTACTGCGTAATCACGCGACGGACCTTTCATTTGCGTATAAAGAGCTGCACAACTCCGTGCGTTCGTTCGTTCACTTCTTGTTCTTTAGATAATTCTCATCAATTGCCTGATGCCATCTCTGACCCGTGTGGAGCCAAATGTCTGACACAATCTCCTCCTTGCGCAAGCGAGTCACTTGGTCCATCTCCAAAGTCTTGTCCCACAATTCGCGAGATGCTTTTTCTTTGAGCTTTCTGATTGCGCCAGCCTCCTCTTTTGCTTTGATAGCCACGGATAGGTCCTTTGAATTGGCAAGTCTTCTGGCTTCGACTGCATGGTGCTTGGCGGCTTTGGTATATGCTGTGCGAGTAGCTCTAGCGGCTGCAATTCTAGCCCTCCTAGACGTGATTACTACCTCCTTAAAATACTTCGAACACCCGTTAAGTTGCCAATGCAAGGGGCTTAACGGCTGAATATCCAGCCCGAAGGGTGAATATCGTATACCTGCACTCGACTTTCTTAAGGGTACCCACTAGAACCCCCTTCCGCCTTCAGCGGCTAACCAGCCGTTCGAACTACTTCCTGGCAGGCCCAGTCTAACTATAACCTATATCGTACCCCCTTCCCTGTAGCTTGTAGGAAGACGACGTTTAGTCACGGTAGAGTGGTGGATACAGTGGATCGCTCAGCTGTTGACCCTGACGCCGTTGTTGGTCAGCGAGGCGCATCTTCATCCCTGTCTCATAGTTAGCCGTGAATGCAGTACGTAGGAAACGCAGGCGTATAACCTTCCGTCGGCGTGTGGTTATAGAGGCTCTGACGATCGAACGGCGCCTCAAGGAGTAAGCCTTTGAGCGAGGTAACCCGTGAGACGGCAACATAGCTAATACCGGCCTGGAAGTCGCGTGTAGCGAGATCAGTAACTATTTTATCCTTTGTTAGGCTCTGGCATTTGTGAACAGTAATAGCAAACGCCACGATTAGGGGAAACTGCGTGCGAGCGCAGGTCTCGTTGCCCACAAGGAAGTCCCGCCTGACTGGCAGGATGGGGTGAGATTTTCCTGCCCTCGTTAGTTGTTAGATACGGCGGTCCGTCGTAGCTATCAAAGTCCACCATAATAACGGCTGGGGGGTCTTCCAATGGATCGGCGCCTGCGCTCCAGGCGATATCGTATACAGTACCCTGAGCACCGTTAACTAGGCCAGCTGATTGCCACAGATTAGTCGTGAGCATCACCCTGGTGCCCTTAGCAACAGGGAACTTGTTAGATAGATTGCCAGCATTGTTGCTTGGTGCCTGCCCAGCGCCGTTGCCGTGATTCTTTGCCTCCACTTGTATTGCCGGGGCGTTGAGATGCACCATATGCTCGTGGTTGTATTGGTTGACCCGTGCCTTTGTAGAATACACTCGCAAAGCGGTCCTGAAGCCGTCAAGCTCGCTCCGCGGTAGCCTGGCCTGTACCCGATTGCTAAGGAGGTTCCAGGATGGTATAGATAACTTTACATCACGCAGTTCCTGCAACGCCTGACGGAACTGGGCCTGATCATCACCAGCCTGGCGCTGTGCCGTGGTCAGGAAGACGGTGCGGTCAAATAGGCGGTAGGCCACCTGCCCTCTCCTTTCCAACGAAGACAGGCCGGTGCTAGTCGAATACAGGGGCTTTTGTCGGACTGGTGGTAACTGGAAGAAATCGCCCACAAGCACAACGCTCACACCACCAAAGAACTCGAGGTTACGCTGTGGAAAGGCTTGTCGCAAACGGGAATCGATCCGCGCGAGCTGCTCAAGCCCTAGCATGCTCTTTTCATCGATAACGAGGTATTTGATGTGCCGTAGGCGGGACTGAAGGGCGGCTGCGTCGGCCGGGGGAAGGTCGGTGAAAGTACCGCCTACTGGGAGGCGCAGCAACGAATGAATGGTGCTGCCCTGTATCTGGTTACTCGCAACGCCTGTTGGCGCCACGCGGCATATAGGGCTAGGATTCGGTAGGGCGGCTGCCTGAAGATGGGAAGAAAGCACCTTGATAAGGAACGACTTGCCTGTGCCACCACCACCATCAACGTGGAGAAGGATTTGAGCAGGATTTTGCGCCTGGAAGTGGCCCATGAATGTGTCGTACACGAGCCGTTGTTGCGTATTCAGCGTATTACGCCAGTGAGGGCCAAGGACCTCCACATCGTTGGCCATGGGGTGGCTAGCGATAAGGTCTTTCCAGTAGCCGTCTCGGAGTTCCGGATAAGTACCCACATGCTGTGTCCAGTCGTAATTGATGTCGATATCGCGGCGGCCAAGTAGGTCAAGATCTTCCTGGGTAAGGGAGTTGTCAGGTAAAGGGCGGCGAGGCGAATCCAGTCTTCGTCATCAAATTCTTCCTCCACAGGCAGAGCCTCGTATTGATCATCTTGAGGCTGTAATCGAGCCTCTTTTGGCCGACCGTAATGGTCATCACCATGACTGTGATGCTGCCAACAATAGGAGAAGGCCTCAGCGTGAGAACCAAAAAGCTGGCCGTCAACTGTGAGGAGATCATCAACCCGCCGATGTGGGTGGTTTAATGTTAGCTTTACACGACAGTAATCTGACCACTGTTGACCTTCTGGATCAGCCTGATAGCGAGGAAAGTAAACCAGCACTCGAGGCCTGCCGTTAATGTTGCCTGGCTGCCATTGCTTCCACTTGGAAGGGTCCCTAGGGCGGAAATTCCAGCATTTCAGGAAGGAGACGTAGCTTAGGTCCGCTAGGGCTTCCGGGCGTTGAGTGTACTTTTCGTAAACGTTGGGGGCCTCGTCCACCTCATCGCCGTCAATACGGAGGGAGCGGGAATGCCTGTCAGGATTACGACAGTCGACGTACAGGCAAGTTCGTGACCCTTCCTGTAACGGCAGGCCGAGGAGCAAGTGGCTGACCTCCTGCTTCGAGTAATCCCGCTCCGCAACCAGCTGATTGAGGAGCTTTGACGTGAAGGAAATCAAGGGGTTGTGGTCCTTGACCCGGGGCATCAGGGCCTTCCCAATCTGGGCAAAAGACTCGCTCTTCTTTTCCGACTTGGAGCAGTATTTGGCCGCGTAATCGATTACCTGCTGTAGACTCGTGCAAGGCGAAACATCTGTATTGGCTAGCCACGCAACGGTAAGCAAGCGGTTGTAGTGGTTAATCTGGCCATCGTTCCGCTCGCCCCTAAAGCTCCAGTGTTTAGAGTGAGGAACCTTGTCAAGGAGGCTAGTAGGCGCTGGCCGTGAGGAAATCCAAAGCGGCACTCCACCTGCTTGGTATGCTTATTGAGCTGCATGCAGTAGTTGTTGCAGCGGTGGCGTTGCACGCGGTTGACTACCATCGATAGGAACTGAACGGTAAGGGATGTTCCAGTAGATTACCGATCAGGGTTCCCTTCCCCAGGAGCCTGTATTCGCTGTGGCTCTGGGTTCACTGCAGATACGTGGTATCCCCAGATGCGAGCGAATTGTTCCGGGACTGATCGTTGTCAGGATCTAAGTCTGGGTGGCCACTTAGCCAATATAGGCCGTGGTGGTGACTGGAACCCCTGCCCTGCCACTCGTAGCGGCCCCAAGAGTCCGTTAGGTTGAACTTCTGCTTCAAGCCAATAGCCTAAACAGCGCATAACGCTTATGAAAGTGGTACGCAGCGATGTGGGCGTTGTCTCGCAGTAGTTGCCGGGATAGAGCCATCCGCGCCGCCTCAGGAGCTGTTTGCCACTCGTCAAATCGAGGCATATGGCGGTATAGGGATTCCCAGTGGTAATCGGCTGCACTTGCAGTAGCGAAAAGGCCGGGCTTGCCTAGATTATAGGCATATGCTTCCAACTCCTTCCTTTGTTTATACCAATACGGCCGGGTGCCCTAATTACTGCGGCTTGGCGCGTGATCGACTGGATCAGGACCTGAGCCTCCGGCTCGTCAGGCTCAGCCATTGCTTCCTCTAGGTCGGCGCGTGTAAGGGGCTGACGGCGGCTGTCGCGTTGCTTGACGAGGTAGTCACTTCGCTTTCGGACCTGCGCACGTAACAGCGTGTTGAGGGCGACGAAAGGCCACGTCTTATGGCGGGCGAAACGTCCGTCATGCCATCTCATCGCATGGGCAAGGTAGTCCTGGAACGTGATGCTCCGTAAACGAGGCTCCACGAAGTCGGCCTTGCCGTCAGGGTAGAGGGTAGGGAATGCAAGCGTTAGCAGCGGCTGGGAACGGTTGAATTCGTCGATGGGGGTCCTGCGAACTGAAGGCAGCGGCATCTGGTGGTGAGCCTGCGCGTTACACGGTATATGCTCCACATCAGTCATACGCTCAGGGTTAGGGGTACCATCAAGAAATCGGGACTGCAGAGCGTTCAATTCGGTATCGGTAACCTGCAAATTCGGGATCGCTGATGCATCGGCATCGCTAGGATCCTCTTCCACAGCCTCCTCGACGGGGCCTTTGGGGACCTCGCCGTCAGGTATGTCAGCCACTTGGCTGGCAATGGAATCAACTATGTTGCCATCAAGAGGAAGCCGGTGCAAGCGATTCTGACTCACGACGATATCGCGATAGCCCCGGTGGTGGCGCTGTAGGTAGTGCAGCCACGCCAACAGGCATGAGCGGCGTACCCGCAAATCGCGAGCAAACTGTTGCCGGAAGCGAGGGCTGCCCTCCATATTAGGAGGCCGCAGGAGGACGACATCTAGCTCTTCAGGTAGGACCGGGAGCTCTTCAAATAGCCTGCCAACATTGCGAAGGAAGTGGACAACATGACCGCGATATTTATATTGAGCGCCACGTACCTGCAGGACCTTCACATGTACGTGAACTCTAGCAATGAGCATCTCCTCGACCATCGTTAGATCGGGTAGATCGCTCGGGACTTCCCCAAAGTCAAGGTTGTTCGCAGCGCTAAAGAAGTAGGGCTCGTTGGGGCCTTTCTTCCTGTCTCGACTAATGCAGCGGCTGCAGATTTTCAAGCTATTTCGCTTCATATCGAACCAACGCTCCTGGCAGCGAATGCAACTATGCATCTTGTCGTCATTCAGGGCAGTATAGAACTCGCGCACAAGGGCTCGATCCCCCTCACAAAGGGCAGGCAAGTCAAGGTCCCCTGTAAAAGGCGGATCAACTATCTGATCGAACTGTCGCTCTTCAGGCTGTGGCCGTGGCCGGGGGTTAATGTTGACTCGACGTGTATAGCGGCCGCGGCGACGACTCTGTGGCAGTAATGAAGGAGGGGTACGAGGCGATTCCTTCGGTATAGGCGTGCCTTGCACAACAGAAGCCGATGGGAGAGTGCCTTGAGGAATTGGCGTTTCTGGAATCGGCGTGCCCAGAACTACTGTTGGCAGGCCAAGGGTAGGAGGGGTGGGAAGGTCCTCTACCGCGCTTGAGGTAGATGGCCCCGGCAGAGGTCTAGGCAGTCCCTGGAGTGCGGGCGCCAGGGCACGGCATAACGTAGATGTGGCAGGGGGTCGTAAGACTTGCACACACGCAGGCGTTGGCGCAGCCCGCCTTGGAGGCGTCAGGTTAGCTAGAGAATCGGTCCGTTTCGTGGCTCTGCGTGGCGATAGCCTCAAGGCGAAATTCCGCATTGCGGCAACGGCGGCTCGAGATTCGGTTACCCGTTCCTTTCGGCGTGCCCTACAGCTAGCACAGTCTCTTGTAAACTTCGTAGGGTCCTTGACGCTTCGAAATTCGACTTCGGGCAGGTCTTGCTTGCAGGTATGGCAATTCCGAACTGCCTGGGGTATGTCGTCCTCCATCTGGCCGTATATGTATCCACCTCTTACCCTTCAGACTGCTAGAAGAGACAGAATAACCGGAGAATCTTGGGAGGTGGGCCGGCTGCCGAGGTAATAGGTGAACCTATAAACCGTTAGTAACATGATTAGTTTGATAGATTGGGCAGAAAGAGAACCAGCCGCTATGTAGGTTAGTGTAAAGAGTGCCTAGCGACCCAGTAAATTGATGGCATGGATGGAAGAAAGGAAGAACTGGAAGCTCTTGGAGAGCCTGCCAAGCTGGCCAGTTACCTAGTCAACGCTCAGGGTATTTTTGCGGGCCTTCATTTGGTGACGTTATCGGCCGACCAATCCGCGCACGAGTTGAGCACAAGCCAGGCCAATTAGCCAATCAGAGGAGGTTTTATGCTCGAATCTTTCTGACTGAGTAGAACGCCCTTCGGGCTGAACGAGAGGAAGGCTCGCCAGCCGCGGCTCGCGCAAAGAAGCCTTTCGGAACGAAATTTGGCGACAAGAGAACCGGAGAAGAGTTGGCTACAGAAGAGAGAGAGAGAGTTGGCGACAGTAGATAGGAGACAGGAAGAAGAGTGAGGTCGAGATACGAGACACGGCGAGAGACGTAGAGCATTATCGTGAGTGAAACCGAGACAGAGCGTCGGGGAGGCAGGCTAGGCCGCTGGAGGGAGATTTTGTTTAAAAGGCGCAAACTCAAAGGGCGTGGAGAGACGGCAGGGTTGAAGAGAGATGAGTGGGTAATGCATGTCTGGGCGAGTGGAAGGCTCGGAAAATTTACATGTGCTACCGGTATAAGTCGTAGGTATAAACAGAATAAGGAGTATATTGGGAAGTTTTGACTTGATCGTCTTCATGAAAAGGAGAACAAGAAGAGAAGAGAATGTGCTATTCGAGCCTTTGGCAGTTGATTTTGAGGATGATGAGACATGTTGTCATGTTGTATTGTTTCGTTTGAAGCTTTAAAGTTTAGAGAATATTCTTGGGCGGACGTCGGGCGCGCAGTGGTCGGGAAGATATCGACGCGGGAGGTCTGATAGAGCCAGAGGCGGATGTGTCTTGGTGATTGACCTGTTCGGTGTCCGTCTCTGACTCTGCGGGGTCTTCCGGGGACAGAAAGGAGGAGGTATCGGATTTGGGGGAGTCTTGACCGTCACAGTCGGTGATTATGGTGGAAGTTTCGGGAGAAAGTCGCGGTCTCTTGGTTGGGGTTTGGTAGGGATCGGGCATTGACCGACTTGATGCCAGCATAAGGATCGACTGGGCCAGAAGCATGCGGCGTGGGGAGGCGGGGCTTTGGGCGGCCTTGGGTTTCTTCGTAGAGGTAAACCTGGCCAACGCAACGCTATAGTCCGAGGATTGCCGACCGCGCTCTTGGGTGTCGTCGGCAGTAGTTGTGTTGCAGAAGCCTGGTCGGACATGGCCTTGTCGTGGAAAGTCCACGTGTCGGGGACGACGATGAAGATATAGTCTTGGTCGAAAGCCGGGGCATGTTTCATGATCTGGTGATCCAGTAAGCCGGCGATTTTGCCCGTACAGGTGAAGAGAGCGTTCGACTGGAACTGGCTGTCGCGCCTCTCGGTCATCTTCTTGCATAGGGAGGTCCAAGGATTAGCGTGAATGGGGAAGATGACGAAAACTTGGAAGGGGCGAAAGCCCTTGAAGGGGGTTTTGCCGGGAATCCCAGGACAAATAAAGGTGGAGAGCTGGACAAAGCCGCAGCAGCTCAGCTGGGTGTCGTCAAGGGCCGCAGCCGAGTTTCCATGCAGGAGGTCGCGGCCGGAGCCGATGACAGGTCCCGTGAAGGAGACAATGGGTTGTATCGTTGGGAAAGTATCCACCGAGCTGAGGTGCGAGTGACAATTCTATGGATATCGTCAGGAGGGCAGTGGCGACAGAGATTTGGAGCATAGACTCACGGTTGGTAGCTGTGATCGCGGACTATAAGCGCGGGGACGGTGTATTCTGTGATGTTATCATCGTCCGACTCAAGCCATCACGTCGCTCGATTTCCCACGTCAGGGCAAAGGGATGAACACGGCCGACCATGAAGAACCATTGCTCGGTCCATTCCGAGGAGATTATCTGTTGGTTGTATATGGAAATATTAAGGCTGAAGAAGATGCAGGTCGATGGATTGCCAGTATCTGACCGGATTGCTGCATACTCCGGAGTCGACAGCCATGAGGGCGTGGGAAGGAAGACCCTCGCTAGGGTTTCTGCGTTGAGCCCTTTGACACGATGCTCATTCTGGTAGGCGAACCTAGACGGGCAGCCGGGCTGGACAAAGGCCATCATGGACATGTCGGCGCCAGCATTTTCTGGCTGTCAAGAGGTTGCCGCGGGAGGACGAGGTATCGACGTTGAGCTGGGAGGCCGACATCGTGAGAACATGGCAGATGTAGTCACCGTGGAAGTGTAAATGAGGGGTTACGCAGAGTGGAGGTGGGCATCCTATAAAGCAGGTTTTCTTGCTGCTCGAAAGAGGGCTCGCGGCTAGGGTCGGGAGACTTAAGAGTCAGAGAATGCTACCTAGGTGATAGATTAGAAGCGGGGGTATGCGGGAATGAGCTGGCGAGGTTCTTGAACAGTCTCGACCATCTGGTTCTATGGTCGTGAGTGAAGTAGGGAGCCGGGGGTTGGAAGTTGAGTAGGGGTGATGGCTATGTCGCGAGAAGTTGGAGGTCGGCGAACGGTAAGGTTAGTGTGGGTAAGTCTGCGGAGAAAGAAAGTCCAGCAGTACCCTTCGGTGTCATCGTTGCATGGAGTAGATAGCAAAGGCGACAATAACGAATGAGAGTGAAGGAAAGAAAGAGGTTATGGTAGTATTGCAGGGGTCCCTTTTTGACGGTCGTCGGTAGTTGGATGGGCATTGCGTGCGGCTGAGCGAGGCGGGTGCCGACCGTGTCGAGTCCACTATTGGGACACGGTGAAGTCGGATATAGGGGACGAGCTGAGGAGGAGGATGCGAGTTGGTCACGAGAACTCTCCAAGAGGGTTTGCAAGTCGAGACTCCGGTGGCTAGCGACTACAAGAGGACAGGCAGGGGGATCCTGGCTGTCGCTTTAGCATGAAGGCCGTTGATGCGACGTTGGTGGTGGCGAGGGAGCAAACCTAGCCGGGTAGTCCGGTTGCACGAGGACACCGTGGACATGTTATCGCCGGCAGCCTTTTGGCTGTTGCTCGACGAGGTGGAGTGGCAGATATTGATGGAGCAACTGATGCGCAAGGTGGGTGGGACGGCGTTGGAAGGGCCGGAGAGTATGGTTGGAAGTGTGCGGCGGGCGGTTGGCGCGGCCACCCCATGTGCCGGAGGTCGGCAGTAGCCAGGGATTGGCTGGAGTGCGCAAAGAGAGCACGGCGATGGAAGGGCCGCCTTTGGCAAAGCTGGGGTAGCAGGTCGCACGTGGAGACCAGCCGAGGGTCGGGACGGTGGACGCACATAGGAGGGTAAATGGGGATTACAAAGGGGTAGTAGTATTGCATCGCTTCGGTACCATAGGCAAGCATTATAAGGAAGAAATGCCACGGCCATGAGAGTAGTGATCGTTAGGAAGCTTCCACTCGGAAAGAAATAGTGTACGCCAAGAAGCGAGATTATCCAAGTGGAAGTGCTCCGGAGCCAAAACTTTCTAGCCTGTTGCCAATCCACGCTAGTCGACGTCGAGGAGGCAGTAGCATGGCGGACAGTCCTGCAGGAAGCTAGGCGAGGCGGCCGCTCACCGTGGAGCCTGTTCGTTGTCAGTCGAGGATGGAGAAGAGGGTAGGAACGGGGAGTGCCTGTTTCGGGGTGCGGAGATGATACAGGGCAACTCCGAGAAGGGCACGGAGCACGGGAGACAAGGTTGGGGCGGTTCGGGAGATACAGATCAGTGGCGAATGAAGCATTAACGTTCCGGCTGATTCAGCCTAAGCAGTCTGCGGTCGAAGAAACCGCATGGAGAAAGCATGCAGGGGCGATCGCAAAGTCACTGCCGAGAAGACCGCCGCGAGGCGGTTTGCGTCAAGCAGAGCACGGAAGTCCCGTAATTTGGTCAGCAGCGGAAATTCCGCGCAACGTCAGTCACCGAGTCCGCTTCCGAGGTTCGTGTTGCCTACAGAACGTGGAGACCAGGGGGCAGTGGGCTCTGACAGTCCGCCCCTTCATCGGCCGTTTTTGCCCCAGGAGAGGGGTCCTGAAGGTGACGGGCAGGGAGATAAGGCGGCGACCGGCGGTGTCCCGGGTGTTCGTTCGAAAAGGGACCGACGCTCCGACCTATCCAGCCCAAGGATACGACTTTCCAAGACCTAAGACGAACGGCGCAATTTGCAGCATCGATTGCATGGGGTTTGCCCAAGCTCCGTCGGGGACCGGTTCGGCGGCCAAGGGCACAGGTGGGTGTGGACGATGGCGCAGCAGAGGCAGCGGACGGCTCGCTGCGCGGACAGAGGCAGTCCCGGAGGCGGGAGAAGAGAGCCCGTCTTCCTAGCCGGGATGGGCGCCCGATAAAACAGGTCCGAAGTGGAATCGGAAGGCATAGGAGACGGGAGCTGCAGGCCGAAGACCTGGCGAGTGTGCTGCGCTTTTTGGAGGAAGACTTTGCCTTGAAGGAGAGATTGTCTAACGATCAGACGTGGTGCACGCCAATACCGCTCGAGAGGAAGGTGTCGACGGTGCGAGACTTCTATCAGGCGTTCCACGATGCGAGCACGTTGCCGATACGGACCTGCATGGTGTGCTACCGCAAGTGTACGAGAGGAGAGTTGAGGGAGATTACATGGGATCATTGGCTGTCAAGTTGCGTACCAAAGGGCGGCCGCTCACCATTTTCATGCCGGAGTTGCTTTCCTGAGGGCGAGTCCGTGTCGGTGTGCGCCGAGTGTGGCCGATGCCTGGCGCGCAGGAGCCTGTCGCCGGCGATCCACCTTCACAGTCGCCTTGGCTGCGAGCACATGTTCCCGATGAGCTCAAGGGACTGACGCCGGTCGAAGAGAAGCTCATCTCGCTGAACTCATGTTACGGGTTTGTCACGAGATATAGCATTCCGGGCGGGCAGAGACAGAGCGTGAAGTATCCGAGGCATGTCAGGGGCCACATCACAGTGTTTCCGAACAATGTGCAGGAGCTGGCCACCAAAGTGCTCCCGCACCCCCTTTTGCAAGCACTGGACGAGATCCACATCTCGTGGCAGGGCGCGGAGAAGCCGGCACCGAGCGACCTGTCGAGTCTCTTGTCGGTGAGGCGGCGGGTGGTCGAGAGGGCCCTTGTCTGGCTGAAGCGGAACAACCCCCACTACGCCGAGATCGAGATCGACGCGGCGGAGATGGAGAGCTGGGGAGACTCGATACACGGGGTACCGTCGTCGGTGTGCGATCGTATGGAGCGGAACGAGCCGTCTGGGTGGGAGAAAGCGCGGACGGCGCACGTTGTGCCGCCCACGGAACGCGCCGTGGACGAGGAGGGCCGGTGGAGATCGAGGAGCTCTTCGCCCTGCTCAACCAAGGACAAGAAGCCGGCGGCCAGGGTGAAGGTCACGGGCCCAACGGAGAAGGCGCGGTTCGCGATGGAAGTGACGCCTGCCCCGACCAGAACGTTCCAGCGATCAACGAGGTGACGTCTTCTGGCATGTTCGCGCTCGACGGACCGCCAGACGTCGCGGACGTGGAGAAGCTGCAGTTTGCCTGTGACGCTGTTGGTGAAGGTGCCGACGACGGCCGTGCGGGCCGAGAGCGTCGGGTCCCTAGCCGGGGTTCGGGGCGTGGCGACGGTGGTTGTGAGCCATACATCCGGGTTTCGCGGGGGTGAGTTTACCGATTCCTTTGAGGCGTCCTTCTTTGCCAGGACGTTCCCGACCCTGTTCCCATTTGGCGTTGGGGACCAAGGCTGGTTGAAGAGACCATGGTCGACGCGGGAAGGTCACGGCCAACTTGCGAGGCAGGGCTGTCGAGGCAGAGGCGGCCGCGGAGACCCGTATCGTCTCGAAGCTTGAACCTTCAGGCGTGGGCCGAGATCGTGCTCCGGCGCCATGGTGGTCGATTTGCACTGCACCACATCTTCGCATTTCTCGTCTTCAACATGGGGTGCGGTCGAGGAACCGCCGGGTCAGCATGTTGAGTGTGGGAGGAAGAACTTCCGCAAGGTAGAGCGCATCGTGCGTTCGATGACCACAGAAAGGCTAGCGGCGGCGAGGGTCGAGTTGGAGAGCTCGGGTAAGACGACCGATGGTGACGTGAAGGAGCTTCTCAGGAGCCTCTCGCTTTACGGCCACCGGCAGCCCATGTCGAGAGAGGTCCGTCTCAATATGCGGCGGAAAATCCAGTCGCTCATCGTCGGATATGGCGTGCCGGCCATCTGGTTCACCATCAACCCGAACGACATTACGAACCCGGTGAAGCTGCGACTGGCGGCATACCGCACACGCGATCCCGACGCGGCCGAGGAGTTCTTAGAAGGCCTTGGGGATGCGTATAAGCGGGCACGGCTGGCGATATCGGATCCCATGAGCTCGGCCGTGTTCTTCCACCGCGAGATGAAGCTGTTCTTCGATCATTACGTGAAGGTCGGTGAAGAGTCGGTATTCGGGCGCATCGGCAAGTACTATGGCGCCGTGGAGACGAACGAACGAGGGCGCTTCATGTTCACGGCTTGCTCTGGCTGCACGGGAACGCGCATCTCAGCTCGATGCTTGCCGACATCCACGGGGAGGATCAGGCGGCGTATCGCGAGCGAATCGTCCGATACATCGATAGCGTCTTCTCAGAGGTAAGAATGCCTACCTAAGATGTGCCACCGGGAGCCTGAAGTACTCTTCTGATGGCCAAGTGGGGCCGGGTTGACGTGCAAGGCAGGATCTGGACCAGGAAAGTTTTGCGCCGTGCAAGCGGAGCGATCTGTGACGGGCGGTATTGGTTCCTGCTGGACAACGCCGCGCAGTTCTCGGCCGCGTTTATCGAGGAGGCCAACTTCTGTGCCGGCGCGACGCAGGTGCACACGCATAGCCCGACCTGTGTGAAGTATTCATTGGGCAAAGGAGGGCGGAAGGGGACCTCTGCCGGTTCAAGGCGCCATGGAGGTTAGTCGACAAGACCGCCCTCACGGCAGACGGGGTGCTGCAGATCCGGAGGACACACAGCATGGTCAATCGATGGAACGAGGCTATTGCTGTCGGGCTCCGGCACAACCATGATATTTCCTTCATTGCGACGCAGCGCAAGACAATGGCCCTCATCTATTATGTCACGAACTACGCGACCAAGGTGGAGGACCCGGTGTGGAAGCGTGTGGCGGCCGCGGCCGAGCTCCTGGCCGCCTCAACAGGTGATGGCACGGCAAACGGAGGGCGGGACGGTGGCGGAGACGCTGCCACCGATGACCCTGTCAAGGGAACAGGACGCGACAGTTCCTGATGAGAGTGGCGAACCGCGTGTTCACGGAGCGTCCGCTATCACAGGTCGAGGTCGTCGCTCACCTTCTCGGATATCCGGCCGAGTTCACCGACAGCAGCGCGTGGGCGTACCTGAACTGTTCTCTGCTGTACTGGGAAGTCTTTCGGCGATGGCGGCATCTCCGAGAAGCCAGTGGCGCTGCGGCTACGGATGACACCTTGGATGAGTCGGTCGTCGTCGAAGAAGAAGGCCTGAGAATCTCCCACGTCGAGGCGTACCAGCACCGGGAGAGCTGCTGAAAGGCCTATGCCTGTATGACTACATATCGATCGTCAGACTGAAACGCATCGGCAACGACGAGAGCTGGGCGGCAGGGAGATGTCTTTCGAGGATGGATGGGCGCCGGGACGACGCTGGGTTCAGGTGCTCAGGCGGCCGGGCAAGCACGCTACCGTCTGCCTCGACGGCTACCTGAGCAAGGACTTCACCTACGATGACGAGTCGTGCTACCGGAGGTGTGTATGGCAACTGCTCTGTCAGCGGGCATTATCGGAGAGGCTAACCCACCCCCTGAAGGGCAGCCGTGCAGCATCTTGCGCTGTTCGTGCCGTGGAGTCCTTCCTGGGCGAAGGAACAGGTGAGATCAACAGCATCTGGGCGCGGGCTCGAGACGCTATGGCCCCGAGAATATCATGTCTGGTCGACAACGTGCAGCTGCTTCGACGATCCGCCGAAGACGCAAAACGCGACGCCAAGCAATGGGCAGCCTCGTCCGGCGATGGCGACCCGACGGTCGCACACGTCGAGGAGGGTGGAGCAGGCGAGGCGGGCGCGGAGTCTGCAGCGACATATCAGCCCAACAGCATCGGAGACGCAACGCGGCTCATCGACGTCGTCCGAGGTGCAGTGGAGCGAATCAGGTGACGGCCAAGTCGCCGGAGCTCATGGCAATGATACAGCAGCTCTGTCGGTTTCAGCAATCGGCGCTGCGCTCGACGGCCGAGCTCGAGGCCACGGCGCTGATCGAACGAGGAGAGGCGGTTAAGCATGCCAGGGCGGGTATTTTCCGGGGCCGCACTACCGCCGCAGGATCAGGTCAAGGCTATCAAGTCGCAGCAGGTAAGTGCCTCGAAGGAGAGGAGAGGATGATCCAGGGATACAAAGCACGCCCGCCGCCTGGGAAAGCGATCGCCGCGCAGCGTGCGAAGGGTGATGACCGGTTTCGGGAGGACGAGGTCGAAATGACGATGGCCGACTCCGACGAGACCGCTATCGACGCAGGGGCGGGAATGGACGTTCAGTTTGGCCCATCAACCTCCTTCCTCGCGGCGGGCAAGGTGTTGGCAACACGGCTGACGCTGAACAAGAGGCAGTCCATCGCTTTTCTGATAATATGCCGCCAGCTCGATTTGATGCAGCAGACCGACGGGGCGATGCCTGCCAGCTGCGCCAGTTCGTCGGTGGCGAGGCGGTACCGGCAAGTCGCGAATCATCGAGGCACTCGTCGAGCTGTTCAGTAAAAGAGCCTTTCGAATCGTCTGCTGATCACGGCGACGTCGGGGACTGCGGCGGCGCGGATCAACGGCATCACGATCCACTCCGCCTGCGGGTTCACTAAAGACCAAGGGGCGGGGCGCGAACATGGTCAAAGACCTTGACGGGGTGCGGCTGCCGAAACAGGCGGAGCGGTTCATCCACGGCCAGTCTCGAATGGATTGGCAGGAGAAGGATGTGCTCGTCATCGACGAGGTGAGCATGCTCGGGGCGCGGACGCTGCACGCCGTGAACGAGCGGCTTCGCCGGCTTCGCGGATCGCGGCAAGATTTCGGGGGGATCCCCATCGTCCTCTTCTGCGGAGATTTTCAGCAGTTCCGGCCGGTCCAAGAGAGGTCGATCGTCCTGCCTAGCGCGGCCATCTCGTGGGACGTAGACAACTCGTTCAAGGCCGAGCAGCGTCACCAGCACGACAAAGCGCACGCACTGTGGAAGAGGTTCACGACGGTCGTCATGCTGGACGAGCAGATGCGCGCCGCCGGCGACCCGGAGCTGCAGAGGCTGCTGAAGCGGATCCGTCTAGGCGTGCAGGATCGGACGGATCTAAACCTCCTCAACTCAAGGTGCTACCGGGAGGAAGGCGGATCCTTGGGAGACGGGCATCACCGTGGTGACGCCGCTCAATAGGAATCGGTGGAACCTGAACATGGAGGCGAGCCTGGCGTTCCGGGTCCAGCAGCGGTCGACGATGCGCATTTTCATCTCCGAGCACAAGTGGAAGGAGGAGCTGCCGACGGAGGAAGAGGCGATCATGATACTCAACCAGGGCGACGATAGCGCGATCCCGGTGCCGGCCGTCTTCATGTTCGTGGCCGGGATGCCCATCGTCGTGAACCACAACACCCACCAGGGGCTGAAGCTAGTGAACGGCGCGAGCTACTCGGCGGTGGAGGTCATTGTCGACAAGGCGTACCCGGGGCATCGGATCTCGGCCGATATGACGATCCACTTCGGGCCGCCGGCGGGGATCATTCTCGAATCGGAGACGACGAGATATCTCCACTTCGTCGGGATGCCGCCGGGCACGATCTTGTTGACACCCATGACCGTTAAGATACAGTGCCAGCGAAAAAGGCCGTGGCAACGCAACGACGTCAGCCGAAAGGGTTTGCCGTGCGCAGCAGCGTTCGCGTGCACGGACTACAAGGTGCAGGGCAAAACGCTGGAGCGCGTGGCCTCGAGCTGCGAGGACACGGACGACGAAGATGGATGGAACGGTGGTGCCCTCGCAGTGCGACCCGTACGGCCTGTACGTGCAGCTATCGCGCTGCCGAACTCTAGACGGCATCATGCTCGTGTCCAAGGTGCGGGACAGAGACTTGGTGGGCAACCGGGTCCCCGAGGAGATGACTGCCGCACAGGCCAGGCTCGAGGTACTGAGCGAGAGGACCGTTGAGGAGGCGTTGCGCTGGCTGGACGGTGATGCTGAAGAGTCAAGGCGGCCGCGCTAGGTGACGCGATGAAGAGTTCGGCAGGCGGGAAGAGTCGGCAGGCGGCAGACAGGGTGGGAGGCGCCTAGTGGTGGGATAAGGCACGCGAAAAGGCAACAGAAGCCGGGGGAAGGGCAGCGACCAACGAGGAGGGAGGCAAGGAGGGACCAATCACAAGGGACCAATCAAGGGGCGGAGAACTTTTGGGGGGAGAGGGCGGGGTCTGCGGGGCACGTTAGAAGGCCTTTCGTTCCTCAAGGCATAAACATCCGTACGAAGAGCAAAATAGTCTTGGCATAGGCTGGCTACCTTTTTGGCAAGGTCTTTTGCCCCTCTGGCTGCTTTAACGGCCCTTTCTGCATCAGCAAAGGCGGCTTGATGATCTGTCTCACCGTCGACCGAAGTAGCTGCCCGTTCGGCATCATTGGCGGCATTGCTGGCTTGCTGAGCTGTCTCAGCGGCTTCCTTGGCTTTTGCCTCTATCAAAGCTGTTTTCTCTGCATGATCCGGAGCCGTAAATAAGGGAAAGCTCCCTTTCCACCCCACAGCATCCCCCACGCTGTTCATGAAGTCTATGGCATACTGATATGCCGTTTTTCCTCCGGCTGGATCTTAATTTTTCTCATCAAGCTGTGGCTGAGGGCCACTAGCAGAATACTGGTCGTATTTGTGGTCATATTCCGTATTGGCGATGAGGTCCTTTTCTGGATTGGCCTCATATTCTGCGAATTGTTCGGGCGCGGAGTCCAGGGTATTGCATTCCAGCCAATGATTTGGTCCCAGTGTATCCCGCCCAACGCGTCATACTCGGACAACGCTTTGGCGTCCGACAGTAGGTCCATGCTTCCGGACAGAGGAATCACATTCGGCGTTGCTTGTATGTGATAGACATATCCATGAGTGCCCTTGCTCTGTGTACTACGATGCTTGGCGTATGCAAGCGCGACTTTGAAGTCGGTTGATGTTGAGATATACGCCGAAATAGGTTTGCCATAGTCAAGCGAACGGAAGCTTGTCAGACATTTGGCTCCACACGGGTCAGAGATGGCATCAGGCAATTGATGAGAATTATCTAAAGAACAAGAAGTGAATGAACGAACGCACGGAGTTGTGCAGCTCTTTATACGCAAATGAAAGGTCCGTCGCGTGATTACGCAGTACCGGTAGTGGTTGCCTAGCAGGCAACAGCGGCGTTGCGAGTAACATCGCCACTTCATGAATAATCATCCTAGGCAGGCTTGATATGCGACACACCCCCCAGCGTTGAGTGATCAAGTCAACGCTGCTAGAAGCTATCACAACCAGCCTGACCTAGAAGGTCATCGACATCCCACTTCAAATTTGCTTCCTCTTGATATCTGTCAGATTCAGCATCGATCTGAAGTGCTCGAATTTCGCTCTCGATAGCGCTTTGGTCAATCCGTCTGCTGGCATCTGATCAGTCTTCAAGTATTCCACTAGGAACCTACCCTTCTTGAATTCCTGTTTTAGCCACATGTTCTGTATGTCAACGTGCCGCAACTTGGTCGTGATTCTCTGGTTCTCCTCAACCACTAGTCGGATCGACTGAAGGTTGTCGCAGTAAATCTTCAGAGGCCCGAGATCAAGAGAGATATCCCTTAATAGTCGGTCCAGGGCGTAACTCTCCTTGGTTGTTCTCTCTAGGCTGAGAATTTCTGCTTCGGTGGTTGAAGTCGTGACTGTGTCTTGGAGTCCAGCTTTCCATATGACCGGTCCGTTGAACAACATCATCACATATCCCTGCGATGAACGACGGGTCTCGATATCATCTCAAATGACGCGTCGCTTGCGATCACAAGTACCTCTCCTGATGCATCCCGTCGTACATGATTGCAAGGAATCTCGTTGAGTATAGGTATCGGATGCATTGGTTTGCGGCTTCAAGGTGTTCAGGCGATGGGTTTGTCAGGAACCTCGCGAGCTGGGCTGCTGCTCGTGCTATATCGGGTCTGGTCATGGCCGCGATATACATCAAGGATCCAACTCGTTCCTGATACGCCTTTATCTCTTCCTTGGTAGCCTGCCCGTTGTACTTGACGAGCGGGATCGTCGCGATGGGGATTGATGGTACTCGGAGTTTCAAGTCGCTGAGCTTGAACTTTCGCGCAATTTTCTCGACGTACGCGTCTTGGCAGAGGTAGATCTTCCTGTTTGGTCGATCCCTTACAACTCTGATGCCAAGATACCACTTAAATTCTTCTTCGCGCAGATCGTATTTGGATTGGAGATGCTGGACCAGGTCGTTTACCGCCTTCTTCTCTTGCCGTGGGTTGAGAATCAAGATGTCGTCGACATAGACAAGAGCCAGGATTTTGCCGTTGGTAAACACACAAGGTTCTTCATCCGTACGGTCAATCCCTGCCTCCTTGAGGGCCTGGGAGATCTCATTGTACCAGAGCAGTGGAGACTCTCGAAGACCATACAAGGCCTTGTCAAGTTCCGCGATCATGGTTGAGCCTTCTCCAGGTTTCAAGAAACCAAGTTCTACAAAGCCTTGCGGGAGCCGGACGTAGACGGGATGGTCCTTCTTTAGGTCGCTGTACAGGAAGGCGTTACCAACGTCGAATTGTCTAACGTCAAGACCGAATCGGGCTGCGATTGCCATCACGATTCTGAAGGTTTTTGCTGCAAGGGTGGCTGCATATGTCTCCCGTCCGTCGTCCTCGTCCTGCAGGTCGCCACGGACGCAGATCCGAGCTTTGCACCTTTGGAGGTATCCGTCCTGATCAAACTTATAGGTGAACACCCACTTCAGTGGAAGAGGCGATCCCTGTGCCTTGCTGCGTTCGACCAGTCTCCAGGTGCCACGTCGGAGGAGATCGTGCAATTCCTTCCTTATGGCCTCTTTGAAGTCTGGGCCCATCGGGTGGTTTTCTAGATCCTGGTAGCGTTTAGGGAGTCGTACAAGGTCATCGCGGTGAAATCGATGATCTCGTGCCGTCTTAGAGACTGCGGCAAGAAAGACACTATGAAATGTTTCGAGGTTTCCCTCTGGATGTTGATCCGCTGGAAGCAGGGCCGTGAAAACGCTGTTGACGTAATCATCGTGCTTCCTCTTTGGCTTTGGTGTCCGGTCACTCTTGCGAGTTGGCTGGTCACCGTAAATCTCCTGTTGACTGCGGCGGGTGCGCGTTTTGCCGCGTGGTTCTTCAGGAATTGGTTGGTCACCTGACGGCTGCTTGTCCGGTTGCATGCTATTGCCTTCTGAGGAAGGTCGCCGGCGTGGTGGCAGCGGTTGAACTACGATCGTGTCCCGGGTGACTCCTTCAGGACTTGGATCGCTTGAATCAGTCGACCTTTGGCTATCATAGCTTGTTTCTCTGTCTTGTTGGGGCAGAGACTCTAACTCCACTGGAGAGCTTTCGGCGTTATGATGCTCAGTTAGATCGCTGTTTGAACCAGCCACAGAACGTTGGGCAGGTGAGCTCGGGTCTGTTTGCAACGGTGGGTCTGGTGTTGAAATCTTTGAGCCCGTTGACCTGGAAGCTGGTGAGGCGTCCCTTCTGTCCAGCTGTGGTGTTGGTTCCGGCGTCGGAAGGACCGGGGATTCGCTCAGAGGCGTGAGAAGTCTGTCTTGCGATAGAGGCTGCAGAAGCTGCGATCCAGCGTCTTTAACATCTGAGATGGCACCTCTAGCGTCTTCCACCCCCGAGTTCGAACCCTCCAGGTCGAACCCCAAGATATGATGATCAAACTCATAGAGAAATTCATCCAAGAGCGTGTCCCAGTCTCGCTGAGGAAGCGGATCGAGCGCCTGTGACGTTGGCTTGTACTCGGCGATTGCCTCAGTCTCGAGCTGTTCTTCCTTCTCTGGATCAAAGAATTCCTCCTCGTTGAATCGTACATCTCGGGACAGGATAACCTGATTGAGCTTGGGGACCCAGATGCGATAGATATTGCTGGCGTGGTAGCCAACAAAGTATCCAACGTGTGCTCGTGGGCCAAGCTTGAATTGATTGATGTCTTTCCGGGCCTTGTATCGGCTGTTCAGGGGATATGCTTTGCATCCATACGCATACACCCCACGCCAGTCTGGTCGGAGATCCTTGTTTGCATCAAAGTCGACGTTTGGCGGTCTGTACCATCGAAAGTGTTGGTGAAACCAACGGTCCATTTTCTCCTCAGGCGACATCCAGTCGTTCCTCCGGCTTGGAAGGATATTGTGTATCCAAACGGCTGCACGATAGACTTCTGGCCAGAGTTCTTGCGGCAGAAGGCCGAACATACAGCGCATTCGTTGCTGATTAATACCCCCAGGTCGTTCCGCACCACCAGTCGGTTCCTTGGTGTGCGGCGGCGGAAGTTCAATCTCAATGCCTACTTCTGTAGCCCAGATCTGGAACTCGGAATCGCGTTGGAAGGGCAGGTTGATGATGGTCCTTTCGTTGTCGATTTTGATCTTGCAGATCGATGCACCCGTATGTCGTTTAACTCGGGCTTCAAAGTCCTTAATGATCTGGCTAACTTCCGTTTTTGAAGTCAAGGACCAGGAAAACATCATACCGCTAAACTCGTCGGTGACAAGTAGAACGTAGCGGTGTCCGTTGTATGCCGCAGGGACTCGAAAATGTCGATAAAGACCCGAAAGAACGGTTGCCTTGATTTGTTCGGGATTCCTGCGGAGATAATCTCGGTTGCCTTGCCGGTGCCACAGGCCGTGCACTGAACGGTGGTTGGGCCCTTGATCCGGACGCCCTTGTCTGTAAGACAAGTTGTTCAAGTGCTTGTGGCCCAGCGTGGCAGGATCGGTGATGCCAGGTTTCGGACGAATCAATCGTGGTGGAGGCGGAACCCTTGAAATCGCCATTCTCTGCCGTCTTGGCCTAGTGTTGTCTGTCTGAAAGGAAGAAAATACGCCTTGGAAGGCGTTGAACACGGAGATCAGTGATTGTGGAAGCTTGAAGTAAGAGCGGGAAACTGGCTTGTATTCGACTACGTCGAGATCGTACTGGTCTGTAAGCCGACAAAGGATATCATTGTCGTCATAGGTTCCCATTCGAAGCGTGTTGTCGACCCCACAGTGCCATAGACCCTTCCTTGCAAGCTTCTTCGCGCTGACAATGTTCGTGTGGAATCGTGGCACATGCGCAACGTCGAGAAGAACAAGGGCGCGTGTGTTTCTTCCGTTTTCGCCATCCAGAACATTTTCCACCCTTCGAGTGCCCCGTGCTTCGACCTTCAAGGAACCTTCTCCGATCATAACGTAGTCGGTTTCCTCAGCTTCGCGGATGTCGGTCAGCAGACTCTTGTCATTGACGATATGGGTAGTTGCTCCACCGTCATAGATCGTCGAATTGTAAAGAGGATGCTTCTCGCGAGCTGAAAAGACCGAGTCGGTGGTTCCACTTGTGAGGCCTTTTGCATCGATTGTCAGTCCGGCAAAGTCGCCATGTTTGCGTGGGTTTCCTTTATCTCCTGCTTGATCTGTCTTGGCAGTGGCTGCCGAGGCCTTGACCGTGTCTACAAGACTCTTCCACTTGGCTTGCTTGAGAGCTTCCTTGCAGGTCTTGACGCGGCTGGACTTGACTTGTCGTCCATCCTTGGACTCGCCATTGATTGCAATTTGTACAGCAGCGCAGTCAGGGACTTCCATCAGTGCTTAGACGACGGCACTCCGCATGGACAGTGGCTTTGAGCTGCATCAGAGGCGGCAAACACGCTGTCAGACAGCTTGCTGCTCATTCTGGTGCTTCGGACCTGCTCGTGGAACAGTTCGCCCAATGCGCGTAGTGTGACATCAATCTTGAGGCCGAACTTTTTGCTGTTCATGATGTGGACCTTCTGCTGGCTTGCCCATGTCGCATCAAAGGCAGACGTCGCTGTGAGAAAGTCATTGAGGGCAGACTGTCCTTCAAGCTCGGCGATCTTGTGTCGTTCGCCTTCTAACTTGGCTTTATTCCAAGCCACGAGCCAGTCCTCCGGCTTGACTCTCTTTGTCTGGGTGAGGACCTGACGGTATCTTAAGCGTGCTTCCTCTTTCTGTTCGTCTTCAGAGGGCGCAAGGCTTGATTTCAGGTCGCGGACAATAACGCGAAGGTCAGACTTGGAAGTCGTGTTGCCAAGATAGGTTTTATCGACAGTTGATCGGACCCAAACAGCGAGTTCAGCATAGGCGCGCTGCCGGTTGGCGAAGGTCGCTAGCTTGACTTTGTATTCGGATTGAAGACGTGTGAGTCGGGTCCACTGACCATCGTTGAGGTCAGTGGCCGGGTCTGGTCTTGGTCCGGCAGATGCAGCGTTCTGCTGGTATGCGCGTGCCCAAGCGTTAAAGGCAGACTTGTTGAGTGACTCAAGCATTTCCTCGGAAGTCATAGGCTCCTTTGGTTCCTCCAGGATCGGAGCATCCTTGTCGATATCGACAAAGCCAAAGACCTTGGAAGTCTCAGCCCTTGAGACGAAATCGTCGTACCAGGAAGCCCATTCGGACGGTCTGGAGAGCGTAACCTCAGACTTGGCTGTCATCTTCGGAAAGCCTTTGGTGTTGGGAAATGGGCAGCAAGGAGGGATAGAACGATTGGCGTAAGCAAGCAGACAAAAGCGGCAGGGTTTGTATCCCCTGAGTGATGTGTGCGTGTGGCGATAGGCACCGTGCGAGCGATCTTGCACGATGGTCGGAATCAGCTATGATGAGCGCCTAAGTGCTACCGGGCTCATAACTGTCAGACATTTGGCTCCACACGGGTCAGAGATGGCATCAGGCAATTAATGAGAATTATCTAAAGAACAAGAAGTGAACGAACGAACGCACGGAGTTGTGCAGCTCTTTATACGCAAATGAAAGGTCCGTCGCGTGATTACGCAGTAGTGGTTGCCTATCAGGCAACAGCGGCGTTGCGAGTAACATCGCCACTTCATGAATAATCATCCTAGGCAGGCTTGATATGTGTCAGAACCTTGATGAGGTTCTCGTCGGATAGGTCACGGACACAGCAAGAATGGTACGATCGGATGAAGTGAGGTATCATGTGTGTGTCTGTCTGTGTCCCCATTTGGGGTGCTCTGCCCAAGCCCTATATCAAAGGGCGATGGCCTCAATCCTATGACATGCCATCACGTCATATCTCTGTAACTGTCTCATAGATGTCCTCGTGGCCTCATCGGCTGCGCTACCTGGTGCGCTATCGTCTGCGCTACCGTTGGCGCTGCCACTAGTAGCCTGACGCTATCGTAGCTGCATCTACCCGGATTCTACCGGATCTAACACTACCCCTGCCAAATGGTTTGGGCCGCCACGACATGACGGGACAAGACGAGACAAGGCAAGACAAAATGTGGCGCGACGTGACAGACAGCGACCCACCTGCGCGCCATCGAGGTCGGCATGACGTCTGCGATGTCGTGTTGCAGCACGTCGACCCAAACACCAAACCTTGTTCCCCTCTCCTCCGAGCTCATGCAGACCAGGGCAACCATACGTACATACATACTTTGTATATACATAAGACATGCCTCGGAGCCGGCACGTTAAACCTGCCATGGACAGCACGTGGCGATCGCACCACCATCTCGCCGTGACGCCTAAGCCATGTTGTCTTGATACCTCAGGGTCTGACCTCGACTAGCCCCGGCAATTATCATGCCCGCAGCCAGGAGGCTATAATCTGCATTGTCACCAGACGGAAATATTCGGACGTCGGCCGGCTATGTGTCTATTTTCTTCACATCTACGAATACGCAGGTCCCGCCGACAGCAAATCGACAAATTGATAGGGATACACATGTCCGCCACTCAAGAGGCATCGTATCTTTCTAGAGCCGGTGGCAATAGTTTTCACCCTTCTGTGGGGGATATGTTTACAACAAGCCACAGTTCGAAAACACTTGGCCGCGATTCCGAGGCGTTTTTGTCTTCGAATTCGCCCCTGCTAGCGAAACTTTTGCACGCAGGGCCATCCGTCTAATACAATTCTACATTGCAACATGTTGGCTTCACCGACAGTACGAATTCGATACATGTCAATGCAACGTAGACGTAAAGCAGCTACTGACACCGGACACCACGTCTGTTACTGCTTACTCTACGCAGAAGAGCAACACGTCTGTGGGAGCTTGGGCCGAGCGACGTAATCATGATGACAGACACGTTATTAATTAGTACACGACATAGGAAGAATGTGTGGCTGGCAGATTCACCGCCGTACCGAGCAAGGTCCACTACGCTGACCACTTGGAGAAGTCGGCCGGCCTTCAAGCAGGCCTTTCACAACAGACATATCTGGACAGTCTGGCAACGAAAGAGCAACATCTGTGGGGCTTGAGGAGACAGGCAGCAATGTACTGAACCATGAATAGTAGCTTAGCGTAGTGGCCTTCTAGGGGACTCCCTCTGGGCGTAATAAATAGCTTTAGCATTAGCATCAGCCACCCTGCGGTCCCTGCCATGCCTAGATAGATAGATGCTCGGCACCGACCGGGTGCTCAATATCCCATCCCTTTCCTAGACGCCATGAAATCCACCAGATCAAAGAAACTCTTCTTGTAGAACCTCTGCTGCGTGGTTAGGTTCACCGCCTGCATTCCGAACTGCGGGCGGAAATCGCCCAACTCCCAGTTGTCGACAAAGGACCAGGCGAAAGCACCGAGGATATTGACGCCGTCCTCGTGGATCGACTTGAGCATCTCGGACAGGTAAGACAGGTAGAACTGACTTCGGGGCGAGTCGAAGCGCTGGTCGGGCATTTGGCGCTGGGACTCGGCGAAGATTGCGTACCCAACCTCGCCGACGACGATGGGCTTGCGGAAGGTGTTCCAGGCGTAGAAGAGGAAGGAGCGGATGTACTCGGGCGTGGCGTAGACGTACGTCTGGGCGCGGTAGCCGACGTTCCAGCCGTGGACGTCGACCTGGGACTCGACCACGCAGCTGGGGAACAGGGATGGCTCGGCCCTGGCGGACGCAGGCGTCGATGCCGCCAGGCGGTGGCGAGATGACGGTTGCCGTGTAGGGGTCCAGGCCGAAGAAGTCGGTCGTGTCGCCGATGTAGGCCAGCTCCTCGTCTGTCAGCTTCTTGGCCTTGGGGAGGGTCTGCAGCACGGCATCGGGATACTGCTCGCCGAGGGCTATAGGGTTGCCGTAGGTGCCCAGCTGGATGGCGTTGAACCGGTTCGCGGCTTCGACGTCGGCCTGGTCGCGAGGATTCCTGGGCAGGCCAAAGTTGGCGTTCCATTTGAATCCCATCTGGCCCGTGGCCTTGAGGTCGTCGTGGTAGAAGTGGTAGAGCTGCGCGTGAGCGTGAACCACGTTGTCGAAGCCCGTAAAGTTGAAGGTGTTGATCATCAGCTCGTTGACCGTCACCCACATGGGCACACGGTCCGCAAAGTGTGCCAGGAGAATCTTGCCGTAGTTTACAAAGGATTCGACAAAATGTTCGTTCCAGAAGCCCATGTTGTCGAAGTGAAGGTCTGGCACCTCGATTCCCGATCCGTTGGCCGTCTTGATCAAGGCGCACGGGGTGTCAAAATGGAGCATGGTAGCCACGGGCACCATGCCCTTCTCCAGGACGTAGTTGATCAAGTCGTCGTAGTGCTGCAGGCCCTGCTTGTTGATGGGTGATCCGGCGCGGCCAAAGGGCAGGATCCTCGACCACGAGATGGAGAAGCTGTAGTACTTTACGCCCATGGCAGCGATGCGCTCAATGTCCTGTTTGTACAGGAAGTAGTTCTCGAGCGTCGTATGGGCCTGGGCTTGGTCTGGGGTCATGACCACTTCCAGCTGGCTTGGCCCGCGACCTCGAGCGCAACTGCGCCCTCGATCTGGGCCGCAGATCCGGCAACGCCCAGGAAGAAGCCGTCGGGGAACTCGTACGAATCCTGGGCCAAGAAGTACTCCCTGCGCGGAGCCACGAGCTCTTCGGTGGGAACGGGGCTCGGGTTGACAGTGGTCGAGTACAGTCCGGTGGTTGTGTAGTTGGGCATGTTGGCGCTGAGCCACATGGATGACCAAGCGGCTTGGCCATAGATGTCGTCAGTGTCTGTAGCCGAGATGGCGGTTTGACCGGGGAGCCAGCTGCCGTACGTTGTCGTCGATAGGCTGGTGTTTAGGAGTTTGACGGCGTCCGAATACCGGGACCATAGATGGTCGTGGGCGTGGATGTCGGCGCAGGCAATGACGCCGCATATCTGAATGCAAATTAGTATTTCCAGCCTTTTTTGACCACAGATGAGAGAGCAAATAAATGCATGCGCATCTCACCTTACGGTACTGGTGAGTGTGTAGGAAAACGGTTGGAAATAGTACGAAGGCTTGTTGGCATTCGGTTTTGCCGCACCGCTCGTTGGTTGAGCTGCATCAGAAGTGCCTACGATGTAGACTTCTTGACCCTGGACAAGAAGAGCCGCAGCACCGGTGATGATAACAGCGGTCAAGCGCATGATGATGAGCTGAAGGGACTCGAAGAAACGTTGGGAGTGCGATAATATCGAGCAACCGACCGTCGCCGCAGACCACCTGGGCAACCCGACAGCTTTGTACATGGACAATGCTCTAAGCAGGTAGTAGTAGCTTCACGTTCCACGAATGAGTTGTCCCTTTGTATATTGATATGGGCCAGACTCCGCCATTCCGGCCCGTGCCCTCAAAGCCCGCAGCGGTTCCTCGGTCGTCATCCTTCGTTTCAAGCGTTCAAGCGTCATCACATGAAGAGAGCGCAAGCAACAAGCTACACCAGCCCATATGGTTCCTACTGCAGTGTGATCCAACGGCGTGCTATTTCCTAGTACTGTTTCTCGGAACCTCCGGTCCGACGGACGGACCTGTGTCGGACTGCGTCGATGAAAACCAAACCCAGTCGTCATGCAATAAATAGTACAAGACGGCATCGCTTGGGCCGGACAGCACCGAGAGTGATCGAGATTAGAGGTCGTTTATTATGGCTCGTCCGGGAATATCTCGAGATTGAAAAGGTACGAGTAGAGCTCAGAATTTGTGGGCTCAAAAGAAAACATGCCCCGCAGTGCCATTGACGAGGATTGATAACCTTGTTAATAAGGTTACTTCGTACTAGCGGTCGATTTTTATGGTGTTGTGGGTATTGTTAACCCACCCAACTCCTCACTCACACGCCAGACTAACCTCATCAAGCTCGTCCCATACCGACCTTGCCCGTACAAGTACTAATTACTCGTAATTCGTATGATCCTTCTTCTGCCGCGGATCGGTAGGCTCCTCGGCCGCGGGCACATTGGATATTACCACACGGAACGGCACAAGGCTCCACCATCAACCCTCCGAGATACTACTTCGTGCGGAAAGGACGAAGCAGGTACTACATCGCATATTATGGACCGGCACCGGGGCCGAGGATCGGATATTGTGGGCTAAAAGGAAACATCCCCGAGGTGCCATTGACGAGGATCGATAACCTTGTTACGGACGGAGTAGTAGAGTAGCCGTTGGGCTTAAGGTGTTGTGGGGTTTGTTAACCTACAAACACGGCGGAACAACGTCGTGCCTTACCAAGCTTGCAAGCTTACACTAATGAGTATGTACGTGTATACATCTTAGTGCGACGGCTATTGTTTTCGTTTGCTCTTTCGTCTGCCGCGGATCCGCAAGCTCCTCGGCCTCTGGCGCATGGCACGAAACGGCGCAAGGCTCCACCAAACAATTCCCAGGATACTACTTCGTGCGGAATGGACAAAGCAAGCAAATCGAGTATTATAGACCGGCACCGGGCGGAGACGACTGACCGGATGAGCCGAGTCCGTGAGCCAGAGTCGGCAACGGACGAGACTTTCAGGTATTTTCCGATCAAAGCAAAGTTCCGGAAATGTATCCAGTCATAGTTATCGATAGGCTTGCCAGGAGGATTCCGATATTCGGCCAGTCCACTTGCATACTTTAGACGACCAAGTTGCAAAAAAGGGGTCATACATCGAATGGCGGGAATGCGAATTCGGTTCCGTTGAATGATGCACAAGCAGTACAGTTTGCCGCAAGTCACGGTATGCGCCGCCTTCCGGAGAGGTCCAGAGGCGTGGTGAGTTTGGTATTGGGCTTTGCATAGTGCATGACAAGGTCAAGTTTATAAAAACATATGCAAGTCCTTGATGCCAAGCAAGTATGCTGGACCTCATTCGTTCGAGCAACATTTGAGCCAAGATGCGTCGCCATTCTGGATTTCTGGCGCAATGCGTCGTGGCGGTTTGCTCGATCGCTTCGAGAGGACTTGCCACAATTCTTTCCACTCGTGCTCCAGAGGTTACGGTGAAAAATGGAACGTATTCTGGAATGTACAGCCCTGGGTATCACCAGGACTTCTTCCTGGGAATGCCCTACGCACAGGTACGAACAAACAAAGTCACAGTTCCGGCTTGCGGAACCCCAACACTCAACTGACATGTCCTATGCCTACACAAGGTTCCTGACCGATTTGCGGTTGCAACTGGTCTTCGCACGTCGTGGGATGGCGTCCACAATGCCACGAAATACCCAGCCACTGCGTTGGCTACGGATGGGATGAGCCAGGATATGAGGTTTCCGAGGACTGTCTGTACCTCAATGTCGTCCGCGCAGCGGGAGTCCGGACACATCCTCTCTGCCAGTGGCTGTTTGGCTACACGGGGCGGCCTTTTATGGGCGGATCGGCAGACAAGAGATACAACTTGTCCTTCATTGTCGAGCACAGTGTCAAGATTGGACGTCCCATTATCGGCATCAGCTTGAACTATCGTCTTTCGGCCTTTGGATTCCTATCTGGTAGAGAAGCAATGGAGTCGGGAGTTACGAATATCGGCTTCAAAGACCAGCGTTTGGCTCTACAATGGGTCCATGAAAACATCGAGGCCTTTGGCGGCTCGCCGGACAAGGTGACCATATTTGGTGAAAGTGCGGGTGCAGAAAGCGTCTCGGCACAAGTACTTGCCTACAACGGTAAGGAGATTTGCAAAACTCGGGATACTCTTGATGAGCAACTGGCTGACCTGTTGCAGGACGAGACGACAAGCTATTCCGCGGAGCTGTCGGCCAATCCGGGTTTGGTGCCGTCATCAAGAGGAGACCGTACAACGGAGGCTTGAACGACACAGAGCTGCAGCAAGCCACCTACGACCAACTCGTCCGAAACACATCCTGCGCGAGCCATGTTGGCACTCCCGAGTCGTTGGATTGTCTTCGAAAGGCCCCCTTCGAGGAGGTCAACCGAGCTCTGAACGTCTCGCAAGTCGGACCATGGGTCCCCGTTCTGGACCATGACTTCCTGCACGACTATCCCACAAACCAGCTACGCAAGGGCAACTTCGTCAAGGTTCCACTGCTGGTCGGTGTCACCACTGATGAGGGTGGTGGTTTCGTGACCGATTCGACAAACTCGGATGAAGACGTGCGAGAAGCCCTCAGGGCGCAGCTCATATCGAACAACACGGCAGAGAACGTCGACCAGCTGCTGAAAGAGCTGATGTACTTGTACCCGAACGTGCAGTCTATCGGCATTCCTTCGCTCAAGACGTGGTCTCATATTATCCAGCCAGGTGATGCGGGCAGCCCGAATCTGGGGTCGCAATATAGGCGCATGGCAGCTATTGTCGGGGACATGACATTTCATTTCTCTAGAAGGCGGGCCAATTTCGCCTGGTTCGAGCATGGAGTGCCGAGCTATGCTTACCGCTTCAACGTGCTTGTCAACGGGCACCGGCACCATTCGGCTCCGCTCATTTTCAGGAGGCAAGTTATCAAAACCCACAGAGCTACCCCTTTTGGTACGGCATCTTAACGATAAACTGCTATTTAGGTTGCATTTGTCTTTCATAACTGGAACGGCGAGGGGTAAGTCCCTGCACATAGAAATGGGCACCCCCCTGTTTTGGGCACCCCAAAAAAATCACGACCATTTTCAACACCATTAATTCAATCCCTTCTCACTGCCCACCACCGTGCACTACGATACAATCGTCACCTATTTCTGAAACCTCAGCTTCGGTTTCATCAGATTCTTCATTCTCAGCTGCGTTCACCTCCTCCTGCGCCCGTCGTATTGCCTCAATATTGGCGAACCTCGAATTCGGGCTCGTGACCACCCTCTTCCTTTTTCGGCTTGACGGCCGCCAATTGTGTTTCCAGTGCCTGAATCTGCAATTGAGCTTTTGCTAAAAGGCCATCCTTCTCGTCAAACCCTTTGTGATCTTCCTGAACAGCAATCTCTTCGTGGGCACGTCGTCGTCTAGCTGGTTGAATTGAACTACCTGAACCTTCAGATCTTGCGAGCGCCTCGGGGTCGACCACGCAATCTGGGATGTGTCTGATTGCCAGTCACTGGTGGGTAAGTGGCTATTGAATGCATTGGCCACATTTTTCGCGTTCTTTTTGCGTCTGTTGCTGTTCTCCAGCAGAAGAGGGCTCAAAAGTGGCTTCGCCATCGACACCGGCCACAAACCCGTCGCTTTCCAGCCACCCTTGATGTTTGACACAGTGAGCGCTTGCTCGCGTGCTTTCTGGTAGCAGGAAAGAAAGTTTTGCTTGCCGACTGGGCTTGAATCGGTCAGGAGGCTGAGAAATCCGACCTGTTTGCGGTAGTAGTGCTTAAGAGCGGAGAAGACAGACAAATCGAGCGGTTGCAACACATGAGAGGTATGGGGAGGTAAGAAAGAAGGTGAATCTGATGCTGGTAGCATAGATACATGAAGTCAACCGTCTCGTGACTTCCGTGGCCGTCCAATACTAGCAGTCTTCGCTCCGAAGGGTCGGGTGGCTGGGTTCTTGGAATGAACACCTTTTCGAGCCACTCCACCGCAGTTTGGTCCGAAGTCCAGCCGTTCTTTGTCGCAGTGAATTGCCAGTCACTAAAAGTACTGAGATCTTCTGGGAACCACTGTTGCTGGACCGATTTGCCCTTGAAAATGACGAGTGGAGGGAGGAAGGTGCCGGCAGCGGACACGCACTCGATGAACGACGTCCAGACCCGAGAACCAGGCGTCTTCTTTTGTACAGATCGTTTTTCAGCACTGCCAACGACCAGGCCATTCTCCCCAAGTCCTTCCATGATGCCTGCTTCATCCATGTTGTACCTGTTCTCCGGCTTAATAGCCAGAATCTCGGAAGGAAGAAATTGTTGAACCAAGGCCGAATTACCTCGGTAGAAGCGCCGTTGACACGCGCAGAGTCTCTGTGATGGCACTTCTGGGTCCGAACTGCAGGATTTCGTCTTAAAAATGCTTGCATCCAGTGTTTTCCGAGCGGTGTGTGGTCTCCTTTGACGGCGAGCATGCGCTGCGCGAACTGCCTGATCTGCGAGTGAGTGGGAGGAAGGCCCAAGGCGTCCTGAATGAGAATCCATTCGGTAAGTTGCTTTTCCTGTGTCTGAGAAAGCCTCTGAAGAGCAGAAAATGCATCCTTTCTGCATTCGTGACCATGCATGCGATTGTAAAGAGTTGCCCTCAGGACGCCCCAATCGCGAGCAGCCTTCTTGGCGGATCCGCCATTGGCGATTGCCTCAAGGGCGCTGTGAATGTCAGACTCTGTATATTTCATCAGTAGTGGCCTGAGGACACATGCGTCAATTTTTTAGCAGATTGGATGCGTTTCCGCGGTGAAATTTGCTGTTGAAGTTGACGCAGCCGTTTAGGTTGGGCACCCATCTTGGGTGCCCAAAACAGGGGGGTGCCCATTTCTATGTGCAGGGACTTACAGCCCAGCGAATCCTTTTGGCGGAAATGACGCAGCGTACACGGCCAAGGCAACAGCACTGTCAACGAATATGTCTACCGCGTGGATCAACTTTATCAACGAACTAGATCCGAACGGCAAGGAAGACATTGGGCTGCCAAAGAACGAGACATGGCCAAAGTACGACCGAACGGCTGGTGGAGGCGTGGGAGGAACATTGTGTGGGATTTGGACGGCGCATTCGTTGAGATGGATGACTGGCGGGCCGAAGGGATCAACTGGATGATTGAGAACGCCATGACCGTCTTTGGGACGTAATTTATTAAGGCCCAGAAACGATTCATTGCAGTGATCTTGTTGGAACAAAGTGAGGCCTCTAAGTCTCTCTAGGTAATACAGCTCGAAACCAGGTAAGCCTGTAAGGAGGGAGGTTTGTGGTCCACTGAGGGGTCTGGAGGATCTCCTATTCGAACGGGATCCTCCAAGGAGTCCGGTATATCTTTTACTGGCTCAGGGACCTCAAGAGATTGAACTATCGGCCTAATAGCTTGGAAAGCTATTGATCGGGAGATCGAGCTGAATGTGCTGACGTAGATGGCTTACGCGGCCTTCAGTGAGAGGCAAGGAGTGCCTCTTCCTGATAGAATGTATAGTACACCTGAACACGGGATATGAACATAGGGAAGGCACAGAGGATATAAAAGGGGAGGGCTAGACGGATACAGGGCAACCGAAGAAACCAATCAATATATGCACATCACAGACTATCAGATCATATGATACTCGACCTTCGAAAAGTCCCTTTCTCCACTTTTATGTCCACTTTTGCTCTCTCCTTCGCGAGACAATATAGCTTATACTCGTGCCCGCAGTGAAATGAGCCAAAGCGAATCCCCTTAAACTGGGGGCGGGCACGAGTACCTTAAAGCATGTAGCCTTACTCCGTAAAGTTTCTCGAGAGAGAGTAAGTACTAAGTATCTTTGCTTGCAAATTCCCGGACAATGTACCTCGCGATGCTGTCTCAGCTTTTTGAGGCCAACTGCGCACTTAGTTGCCCCCCCCGAAGGGTGGAGCCAATGGGTAATAATGAAATAATTTACTCGCGTAACTCTCGTCCGATGTGCGGAGAGGAGGCAGTCTGCCGATTCAGCTATCATTGCAGGGGGTTAGCTAGTACTAAGGCGGGCATCGGCGGCAGCCTGGCCACGGCGATGGGAATGCCCGCGCCCAAATTTGGTGGCGGGGCCTCTTCCTAATGGGGCGGAAGTCACCGTCGACGTTATGAAATCGTGTCAGATAACCGTTACGCCACCAACAAAAGTGCAGGCCCACACCTAGTGTGGAATAATAGTACCTTATATTTATGACAAATTGGCCGTAGATGTTCCATTTCTCAATTTAGTTGGTTGATGAGTGGATGGACGGCACCGATGGCGGGAAAGAAGTGCCTTGCCTAGACCATGCACTGTGCCTTGCATAGCAATTTCTCAGGTTGTCGAACAACTTGCGTCCTATGGCATTTTTACCAACTTTTGAGCGGTCAAACCAACGGGTAGATAAAGGGCTGCTTTTCGCTTCCAATGATCTTAGCGGCAAGTATCCAACATTCTTGAAGATGTTCTTCTCAAGACTTAATCGTATCAATACGATCGCTAACCTGATGCTTATTGACTTGGCTTGTGCTTCTGGCTCATCTATGATGGCGTCTTTGACGGTGGTCTCTTCTTCAGTGGCTTCTATATCTGCTTCGTTACATGTTGTGCCCTCTTTGAAGTCAACTTCTGTTGGATCCACCTGTGCACTAGGCACCGATCGCGCACGTATAACTAATCGACCGCGCTAGTCACGTGCGAGTAAGAGGTGAGACACAGGGAGGAAGGTCTTTGCACACAGTTTGTATGGGACACGTTTCCCTAGTTACACAAGATATAACCAATTGAACCAGTTCGAATAACCTCACTGCAGTGAAGAGCCTGTCCACACTGATCAGTGTCGCCCGGCAAAGGTGACACAGAACAGCAAGACGGAAGAGAGCTAACCTATCGTCACGCTCTGCAAAGCGAGCTCCTGACGGTAGGATAGTTGCTACAACGCGCGGATTGCTACGAAGACTCTGCATCAGAGCCCACTCTAGTTATCCAACCGTGCCTAAGCTTTGCTGTCATCAGCGACCCTTAGGCGTGCCCTATCGCACATTGATAACCTCATTGACACCCTGTGCCCTGTTTCTCAGCACACAGCCTGTCAATATGTCTGACAATTCATCTGCCGCACTAGCCCCGGCAACAGCCCAGGATACCCCGGCCAACGTGTCTCTCGAAGACAGGCAACTCGTTGAACGGAACCTGACGATCGTGGAGCTCCCTTCACTCCCGATCAGGCATTTCGACGCGGATTTCCTCAACGAACCTATCACCCAGAGCTCCTCCCTTGTCCACCGCAACAGCTTCTTCTTAGGCTGTGTGGCAACATACACGGTGGATAAACGTAACCACGGAATTGCCCTGCTTGGGGATCTGTATAACGACTTCACGGGATGGAGCTATGATGACTTCGAACTAATCAACCCACGCCTTAGATCAAGACTCCGGACGCTTCTCAGAATTAGGGGGATCTATATGGGCAAGGCCAACTCTAGCATCTCTCGAGCTTTATGTGGCCTTCTAACAAGTAACGAACTTCCTGAATGGGATGAGAACGAGTTGCTTGGTCAAGAGGTTGCTGAAAACACCGTGGCATATAAGGTGAAACAGAAGCTGCTCCAAGGAACTGTTAAAGCGGCTATATCGTCACCGGCACCGGTAGTAATCCAGCAGCCAACTATTACCCGACCGGCGGAACCGGAATCCTCTCAGATCATTGAGACCCATCAACCCGCTCAGCAAGAGCCTCAGCATCAATGGCGCGAATCCCTCGGTATCAGCAGACGCTCCCGTACGGACTACCAACTTCCGAGATGCATACACGAGCATTCCACCTGTTCGATTCGAGAACGAGGAAGTTGAGGCCGATCTCACGATTAGATTCATTAAGATATGGGACAAGAAACTAGCCTATACCGGCGAACCATACGATATCTTCGATGACAAGATCCGGAAATTCATGAGCGTGTGCCGTCAAGCAAACATTCCTCCGTCTAAATTCCATGGTGTTTTCCCTTCGATTCTGGCCAAGGAAGCTCAGTCCTTCTTTCTACACGAAATCAGCACTGATTTAACCTTCGCTGAGATGTATCAGAAGATG